TGTACATCGTTTCTCAAAACATTTTCTCTCCATTTAAACCCCCGACATTAGGTCCTCATTTTTCCCCTCCCTCCCCGCTCCCCCCAACCTTCCTAATTTCTATGCATCTCTCCCCTCTGAGCCTTATCCTAATCTCAGGAACCAGGCACTCAGAATGGCAACCATCTTTGGCAGCACTTATGTCTGTGAACAGACTTTGTCCAGAATGAGACATCTGAAATCTCCAAACAGATCTAGACTAACTGATGCACACTTGCATCACTTGTTACGACTAGCAGTGACAAATATGGAACTGGACATTGACCATCTCATTAGCAAAAAGCAGGCCCATAGTTCCCATTGAAATACTGGTAAGTTTGTTGATTTAAATTTACTTGTTCTTCATTTTAAATACTGTATTTGTTCCCGTTTTGATTTTTTTACTTCAAAATAAGATATGTGCAGTGTGTATAGGAATTTGTTCACAGTTTTTTTTAAACTATAGTTTGGCCCTCCAGTGGTCTAAGGGACAGTGAACCGGCCCCCTGTTTAAAAAGTTTGAGGACCCCTGTGTTAGAGGAACCTCTTGCCTCTCTCACATTTCCACACTCTCCCAAAGCTGTTCCATTACCATCTGATACCAATGCTGAGAAGTTATATGGGTGCCATCTGATACCAATGCTGAGAAGTTATATGGGTGCCATCTGATACCAATGCTGAGAAGTTATATGGGTGCCAGTCTACCGTATTGACTACCTCCCTCCACGAACTGTTTCTATCGCTAGTGGTGCCATGAGGCTGTAGTGAGTTATCCATCCTGTTAGCAATGAGAACTGTATAGTCTAAATATGCTGGCATTTCTAGTTGTAAGTGGTCCTGAGATGCTCATTCTTTCCACATGCTGGGACCAGGAGCCCTGGGGGTGGGGGTGGATAGAGTCACGCACTGGGCTGCTAACAACAAAGCCAACAGTTTAAAACCACCAGCTGCTCTGCAGGGAGAAAGATGAGGCTTTCTATGTTTGTAAAGAATTGCAGTCTTGGAAACGCACGGGGGTGAGTCTACTCTGTCCTATGGGGTCGCTGTGAGTTGGAATCTACTCAGTGGTACTGAGGACAGTACTCGGGGACCTTGGTGGCACCATGGGTTAACCACAAGGCTGGCGGTTAAGACCACTAGCCACACCTTGCGAGAAAGATGAGGTTGCTCAGTCTTTACAAATTTACCGTCTTAGAAACTCTAAGGAGTTCTACTCTGTCCTAAAGGATTTAAAAACGACACAATGGCAGTAAGTTACCATAAGACTAGCCAGATACTAGTGTAAAAAACCAGTCTATTGGATCAGGGTCATGGCTCAGGGCAGAGTGGATTATGAGGGGAAAGGAGAAAAGACGGGTTTGCTTCTGCTACGTATATATTCGTATGTATGTATAATAATGTTTTAGGAGTCTTTCCATTCTACATCGGCACCAGACTTCTGATGGCGAGCTCCTTAACCTTCACCTCTGGGCGCTTCTAAGCACTCTGGAATATTGAAAAATGTATTGGCTATAGGTGGAGAGTGGAAGAAAACAGAGTCGAGTCTTCAATCACGCCGAGGGAAAGATGGGGGTTTTGTAGGTGAAAAACCCGAACACCAGGTGGCAGCAGCACCCTACAAACCAAACTCACTACCTTCAGTCATTGCGTTTCCAAGGCTGTACTGTAGTAGGAAGCCGTCTGCCCACCAGGCGGATCGCAGCGCAGTGCCTTTGCCACCACACCTCCAGGGCTCCTGACAGGCTACATTTTTTCACATTGCATGAACAAGGTTAGGACTGTGTGAGAAAAGCAACTATAATTTTTCTATTAAAAATAAGTCAAATGTAAATGTTTCCATTTACAGCTCCAATGGCTGCTTTCATGCATATTGAAGCAAATAGCACCAGAGCACTCTGGGCCTGGAGGAGGAGGCAGTGCAGAGTTCAACAGAGGTTGTGCCTTCAGACTTGAAATCCCAGCTCTAGTTTTTATGAACGGTTAAATTAGCCTCAGAAAATGGTTGTGGTGATTAAATAAAACATATCTGATATACAATTCATGCTCAATACATATGAATATTACCATTTAAGGCTATCTCTGTAGTTCTTACATTTCCCTTCAAAAATCTTATTTCCATTTTTTGATATATGAAGCCCAGGATTGATGGACCAATGGAGACAGCAAGCAGAATAAGGCTTTCCCAGGCAGGAGGTTTCTATGGTGGAGGTGGGGGGGCTGGAGGGGAGATGATGTCAAGGAGTTCGTATAGAAAAAGAATGTTTGGAAACTGATTGTGGTGGCAATTGTACAATTCTGCCTGATGTGATTGAACTATGGATTGATATATCTATTAATAATAAATAAATAACATTGAAAATGTGAAGCAACAACAAAATTTTGTTTCTGGGGAACAAAACATTAAGTCACACAGATACATTTGAAGCCTTCCTTGGATTTGTTTATAGCTCCAATTTCAAGTTAGCTTCATAAGGAAGGTCTAGTAAGCCCCCTCATGTCCACAGCTTACTTTAGGGAATCATTTACTGACAGACTTTCCTGTCCACTGCTTTTAGTTTGAATAGGGTCCAATCTAAAAGGCTGTGGAAAACGTAGATGGTGGAGTATTTATTAAGTGGGTTATTTGCTGGATTAGAAACTTCCATGTCTCCCAACTACATACTTATAGGATAAGGTCGCTATTCCTTAGCATGGCCTATATGCCCAGATCCATATAAACCCCAAGTTCAGATAGCCCAGTAGTTCAAGCCATGGCCGTCTAGTGTGTTCAACAGGCAGTCATTGGGTTACAAGCATATGATTTACATACAACTTGTAGTTAAGAATCAACCTACAATAAAGCCTATTATATAAAAATTTTGAAGTCCATATGAGGGGGATTCAAAAATGTGTGGAAAAATTCCATTATCTTTTCATTCCATATTTTCATGAAATTTTTGAAGCCTCCTGTACCATTGCTTATATTAACAGATAGGCACTGCTTTGTGACATACAGCAAAACATTACTATTACCAAATCACTTTAAAAAAATGTTTTAAGGTATCTGAAAGTGTTTCTTTAATGTTTTAACGCTTAGAAATGGGTACTATGTACAAACATGTGACTGGCATTACAGATGAGCTGAACCTCAGTGTTCCTTCTAACATACAAATTCAGCATAAGCACAGGCTTAGGAACTCACTCAGCATCCAGGGGTGGCTTATCATCAGTTATGCGGAATGCCTTAAGTGTTCTGATCATCACGGTCCTGAAAACATTGAAGATATTAAATAGGGACTGCTTTCATACAGTCTGAAGCTTATTCCTTTTAAAGGGTTACAATCCTTCCATTACATATGGCTTCTACGATGGTGAACACTTTTCAGAATTATATTTCTATGTGGTTTTTAGAGTTGCAAAAACAATTTTTTGTTCAGAGCATGCTGGGAACTGTTCAGATCCAGGGGAGGGCGTCTGCACTGTTTTAGGTTGGTGAAGAGCCTTGTTCTTCCAGCCACGTTGTCCACAGTGTTCTCCAAACTCACCACAAATCTTGGCTCCTTAATGCCATTGCTTACACTTTTCTTCTGCTTCTAACGGCTCTTCCACCTCCCTTACTCCCTCAAGTCCTCCCTCATTTACAAAACCCTCTTCCTGGTGAAGCCTTTCCCCAATATCCCGCCAGGGACGTGTGCTGTCACCCACACGCATGCGACGCCTGGATGTGTAGCCTTTACAGGGATCACACAGATGTGTGTGTGCAGTGGTCATTGGACAATGCCTGTTATTCAAGCAAGAATGCAGACCTTTGCATATAGGGGCCTTTTCTTAATTGTCTTTGAATTCCCAGAGATGAGTACAGAGATGAGCACTGAGCAGACATTCAATAAGTGGATGGTCCTTCACTTAATGTAACAAAGAATAAGGAGTGAAGATGTCAGGGGCCATGGAAATCATGGAAGGCTACAGGGGAGAGGAAGCAGAAGAGGGGGGAAGAGACGGAGGGGAAGCACTGGGGAGTAGACTGTCGATCTCAAAAGGGCACAGGTTCTTTAGAGCAAAAGAGCAAATTGTTCTACTGTTCTAGTAGAAGTTGCCGGTACCCATTTCTCAGAAGACATGGGCCACCAGGGTACTTTGTCCTAAGTGTATTTAACGTTTGTTATCAAATCCTAATCTTTAGATTCCATCAGCCAAGCCATTACTTGCCTTTTAAGTTGAGTGCAGAGTGGATATTAGAGTTGTTAATGCCACCCAGAGGGAAAGACAAACAAAATCCTTGTATGTAGAGGGGCACACGTTGGTACAAAGGTAGGATAGCCCACGTGCCTAGGGACCCAAAATGCAGGGAGACCAGGGTATAAAAGAAAGGCCCAATCTCCCTCCGTGTGTCCCAAGCCCGGGCTCTACCAGAGTGTTCTGCGTGCTGTGGGCAGCGGTAAACTATCGCCATGAAGATCCTGATTGTGGTCTTGCTTTGTCTGCACCTCTCAGAGGGTTTGGAAAGGTGTGTATGAGAACTCAGCGTCCTTGTCTTTTCCAGCCCGCTGGGAGCCTGACATGCTAGGGAAGACCCAGGGCTTTCTTTTTCTCTGGATCCTTGGGGAGACACAGGCACCGGGACTCTCAAGACCAAGAACCGAGTCCCTACTGTGGCCTAGGACGGGAAATGCATGGATGATGTCTATAAATGCATGTGTGTGCAAGTGTGTGTATGTACAGGTGTGTGTGTATGTCAATGTAAAGGTGTGTGCGACTTTGCAAGGGTGCAGATGGGCATTTTGTTTTCCAAGAATCCTGTTCCTGGCTTAGGGGAGACCCTGGGAGACATAGACATCTTTTCTTGGAACAATATTATTCTGTCTTCTGCCAGGAATGCTGCTACGAGCAGCGTGAGCAGAGCCGGCGGGAATCTGAGAGGATTTCCGGTAACACCGTTCTCTTTGAGCAGAGTACCAACGGGGTTGGAAGACTTTAGGTCAGATCATGGAAGGGATTGTTCTAATGGGACAAGATGAAGCTTACCCCCGTTGCTTAACCTCTTCTCTGCAGAATCATTCTGAAGAAAGGCAAGTCTATTCGAGAGGTGATGCAGGCACATGGAGTACTGGAGACCTTCTTAAAGAACCACCAGAGGAAGGATCCAGTCACCAAGTATCAGCTCAGTAATGAAGCTGTTGCCTATGAGCCCATCACCAACTACTTGGACGTGAGTGAGGGAGCCGGGAGCTGTCGATTCATGACCCTTGGCTAACCACCGCTCTCCTCACTGTCACTGAGCTAATTCTAATAGGACGGGCAGAGCTGCCCCAATCAGTTTCCAGGACTCTAACTCTTTACAGGAGCAGAAAGCCTCCTCTTTCTCCCATGAAGCAGCTAGTGGTTTTGAACTGCCGACCTTGTAGTCAGCAGCCCAATGAGTAATCCACAACACTGCCAGAGCTCCTGAATAACCATTCTTACACATCTATTTTTGCCTCTCATTAGCTGTGATTTTCCACTAACTACTAAACCTCTAACCCTCACATTCCTCTCTGAGTCCTAGCGTTGTGAGTTGGTACCATCTAATAGTGCGGGAGCTGGCACGGTGTGGCTCTGTTGAACACGGAGAAGGTCCCTGTGAGTCAGAAGCCACTCAATGGCACATGATGGCAACAGTATTGTAGTTGCCTTTCCTTCTGTTTCTCTCTCATGACTGGCCCGTCTCTTTAAAGCCCACTCATAGATTCAAGAAATCCATCGAAGGAAGGTTTGAATCTGATGAGCATTCCAAAGGAAGTCCTAGCAAAGGGCTGAAAGGGGAACAAAAGAAAACGCATGTGGCGGGCCAGGCCAGGCAGCAGGGTCTCCAGGGACTCCAGAGCCTCTGTCTCTCCCCGTTTGAGCACAGCACAGTGGTCCCCACAGCAAATATCCACATGGTGTCTGATCAAAGCAGCCGGATACGCTGACGTGCGGTGGACTTGTCCTTAGTCAGATGTTACACAGCATGTCTGAACTGGAAGATGCCTTAGGTATCTGCTATGTCAACTCCCACGTTTTTAAAACCATCACCTCACTGTGATTTATTTCCAATACGTTTTCATCCTCTTCCCATAAAAGAGTAACTTCCCAATTACCCTCGCTCTCCAAACTCCAGGAACTACTAACCGACTTTCAGTCAATATGCATCTGCTTATTCTAGACATCTCATACAAGTGGAATCATACAATATTTATTCTTTTGTGTCTGCCATATTTCATTTAGCATGTTTTCAGGGTTCATCTAGGTTGCATCGCATATTATAACTTCATTCATCAAAACTCTCTATGGCTGAAAAATATGGAATGATATGGCTATACCATGTTCTGAGAGATTCATAGAAGGAACGAATGGTTGAGATAGTTTAACTTCTATGGAAAGCAAGTGGCTAGATTCATTTAAAAGTTAAACTATCTTGCACTCTGCACGACTTCTCGGTCCAAACATTTTTGGCTTCTTCCATTTGCTAGAATGTGACCAAAAAAGAGGAGAATCATGGTAAAAGTATTTCACACCAGGAGAGAAGGGGGGATGGGATATGTATGTGTATGAGAGAGAAAAAGATAGGGGGGCGGGGAGAGAGAGAGGCAAAAAGGGAGAGGAAAGTGATTCCATCTTTAGCCCTGGTGTTCCAGTATACCATTGCACATCTACACAGTATCACTCTATCAAAAAAAAAAAAAAGGAAATGCACTGGAGGAGCGCGTTGTTTTGCTAGGTTGTCTCAGGTGGTCAAAGGATTGACTTGTGGTTAGAAAGAGAACGTTGAAGATCAAGAGCAGCTGTCTCCAGATGGGAAGGAGCATTGGTAAGCAAAGGCTGTGCTTCCCCCAACAAAATGATTGGATAAGCTAGATGAACTTCTTCGCCGTCCTGCAGACAAGGACGGAGCTGAATGAAGTTAACACCCCTCTCTTTGTAGGCATTCTACTTCGGCGAGATCAGCATTGGCACACCACCCCAAAATTTCCTGGTCCTCTTTGACACGGGCTCCTCCAATCTATGGGTGCCTTCTGTCTACTGCCAGAGCCAAGCCTGCTGTGAGTACACCGCCATCGGGAGCCACCCCACGACTGAAAGCAGGGGAGGGGCAGGGAAAGTAGTGAGGGAAGAAGCGGCCGAGTCAGAATTTGAGCTCAAGCTTGAAGCACCTGTGCAGCAGCAGCTATAAGTCCTGGCCTCGTCTATCAAGCACTTTAGGGGCGTCGAGGCCTGCTGTGAGAGAGGCAGAAGGAATCCACTAGGTTTCCGTTTCTCACCCGCTTAGTTCTCTGGTAGCCCACTGCTCTCGGTTCCTTTGAGCCAGCCCTTCTCCATTTCAGCCTTGCCCTGAAGGTCTCAGGACAATGAGGATAAGCTGTTTCCAAGTGTTTGGGAAGAGCAGTGAATGACACTCATAGTCCCTTTTGTTTTTCGACAGCCAATCACAACAGGTTCAATCCCAACCTGTCCTCCACCTTCCGAAACAATGGACAAACCTATACCCTGTCCTATGGGAGCGGCAGCCTCAGCGTGGTCCTGGGCTATGACACTGTGACTGTGAGTAATGGTCTCTGAGCTTTGGAGAAGTGGTGGCCTTGGTCCTGTTTTCTAGAGTCTAAAGCTATCAGAGAAATCCAGGCGCATGAATTAGGTACACTTCAGGGGTCCTCAAACTACCGCCTGCAGGCCACATGCAGCCTGCCAAGGACATTTATCCAGCCCACCGGTTGTTTTTCCCACTTTGGTTTTTTTTACTTCAAAATAAGATATGTGCAGTGTGCATAGGAATTCATTCATAGTTTGTTTTTTTTAAAAATATAGTTCGGCCCTCCAACAGGCTTGAGGGACAGTGAACTGGCCCCTGTTTAAAAAGTTTGAGGACCCCTGATCTTCAAAGTGGCTGGGAGGTAAAGGGAATTCAACGGCCGTTTAGTTCAACCTCCAAGTCAGGAATTGTCTTCACAGCAGCCAGGACAGGGGACCTTATAACTGCAGAAAGCACCTTCAATTGTGATAAAGTTTTCTCTTCTGATGGTTTTGCTTCCCGGTCTTAACGCTGCCTCTGGAACCCCGCAGAATGAATCTGCCTCCTCTTCCACACAGCGACACTTTGGATGTTTGAAGACATATCCTTTCACTCATTTCCTGTTTCTGTAGGTCAAACACCCACAGTTCCTCGAATCATTCTGCCACCTAGGTCTTTCAGTGGAAAACTAGCCACGCCCCTTTCACTGTCCATGGGAATGGGACCTGGAACTCCAGCAAACCACTGCCTTCCTCTTCCCAGCACTCACGCCCCACCCTCAACAGGTGCACCCAGGATGAGGTGACACTGTTGTCCTTACTGATACTGTTGAGCCCTGCAGGAAAGAAGCCCACTTCCTCTCCTGGGGAGAGGTTCTAGATGCTAGCCCCCAGGTACCTAAGACCGAGAAGGATTTACCTACCTGAATTGTAAGCTGCTGTCTGGTCATCTCAGGTTCAGAACATCATCGTCAAGAACCAGGAGTTTGGCCTGAGTGAGAATGAGCCCAGCAACCCCTTCTACTATTCAGACTTCGATGGGATCCTGGGCATGGCCTACCCGAACATGGCAGTGGGGAACTCCCCAACGGTGATGCAAGGGATGCTGCAGCAGGGCCAGCTCACCCAGCCCATCTTTAGCTTCTACTTCTCTCGGTGAGAGCCTGTCCTCCCCCTCCTCGCCCTGGCTGTAGAGCCCCCAGGAAGCCCCCACCTGAGACAGGTTGTACGGCCTCTTGATAGCTTGCTACACCCAATGTGTGTATCTCAGAAATAATCCCTTTCATTGGGGTCAGGAGACTTGTTTAAAATGCACCGTAGAATTTCTAATTATGTTAGTCCAAAAACCTGACGACGATTCTTTTGTTTCTTAATCGTGAGCAGTTTTCCTTTTATTTTTATCAATCTGGAGATCGATGTAGCTGGTTTGTCCAGTTGTACCTCTATCGAACAGGTCACAGGGCCTTTAGTAGGACAGAGAAGCATAAAGGAATCATCACGACATCCATGCCTCCAGTGTTAGAGATGTCCTTGCCTCGATCACTTCAGAAGCCCTGCCACAAAGCTCACTTTATCAGTGAGGAAATGGACGCTCAGAAGGTCACCAAGGTTGGTGACGATCACCGCTGCTACCAGTGGAGCAGAGTTCCCTTAGTCCTAAAGATTTCTGTGGCAAAATTTATTTCCTGCTCCAAATTCCCCAAACACATGACCTTTGGGGTGCCCTGAAGCCCAAACCTCTTCCTTCTGTGACTGCCAGATCCTGGGTCGTCAACACAAGGGGTCTAATTCCTTTTAACATTGTCCAGTTTCCAACTTGACCACATTAGGAGTATTGCAGTCACAGACACTTGAGATCTTCGTTGAACTCCACTCCATCGGTGTTTCTGCTCTCTCTCATTTCATTTCAGAAGCATTTATAGTTCGTTTTTCAGGTGACTAACGGTCAACTCCATCTTCTCCTTTATGGATGTAATCAGTACTTCCAATTCTCTAATATCTTAATGTTACTTGGAAATCTCTTTCCCTTTGTATCTCTGAGTTTGGTGACTCCCCCATTCGTTGACCTCTGAGTCTGTAGGAGGGAGAGGGGAGAGGTACTACCTGTCCCATTCATCCTGGGGAAACACATGCTTTGTGTATTTTTCCTCAGCCAACCGACCCATCAGTATGGCGGGGAGCTCATCCTGGGAGGTGTGGACACTCAGCTGTACTCTGGTGAGATCATCTGGACTCCTGTCACCCGGGAACTCTACTGGCAGATCGCCATCCAGGAGTAAGTAGAGGTGACATTGCCTGCGGATTGTGGACATCCCTAGGATTGCGACAATGTTTTCTGCTCTGCCATGGTGGACACCATTCCACTTAAAGAATCACTGAAAATTTCTAGGTTGTGATGAGCCTGTAAGTTCTGACATGCAGTTCTTGTCTTGCTTTTTCTTTCATTGGTCACCTAGCTGTACCATGCCAACAGATTGGTCATTCCTAGGTCAACTCAAGTCTTTGTTTCTGGAAGCTTCCTCATCACTGTGCGGAATATTTGAGGCACCATCTTTACCGTCTCCATCATCAGCAAGGGGAATAGCTCTCACTGAAGTTTTCTCTGTGCCAGTCATTATACTCAAAACAGTCCATATACTATTGCATCCCATTGCCACAACCCCATGAAAAGTCCAGCACACACACATATATATAAACATACATTCATATATGTATTTCATTCTATGGATAAGCAAAACCACACATTTTAGAAGGTCAAGATTTGAGCACAAACTTTTTCCCAGCATTCATTGATGATGACCACTATGATATGATCACAAAGATACAGAAACATCACATGACCCTGCAACATATTGGAACATGGGTGGCCTGGCTTGCTGGAGGAGGAAAAGAGTCAGAGAGCTGTTGGGCTTGAGGGAGGCGAGGTGACCTAGCTCAGGTGCATAGCAAAGGCACTCAACTCTCTGTCCTGGTCTTCCTCTCAGGTTTGTCATCGGCAACCAGGCCACAGGCTTGTGCTCCCAGGGCTGCCAGGCCATTGTGGATACGGGGACCTTCCTTCTGGCTGTCCCCCAGCAGTACATGAGTTCCCTCCTGCAGGCCACAGGAGCCCAGCAAGCCCAGAATGGCGATGTGAGTAACCAGTAGCTTCTCTGCACAGCCAGGCAATCCCAGCACAGCAGCCTGGGTATGATGAATTCACCGGGGAGAAGGGGAGGTGTTGAGAGGTGACCTGAGCCCTGAGATGGACAGGTGAGGGAAGAGCAAGCGTGGCAGTTCAGGCCGTGAATCCCAGTGCAAAGGAGGAAGTATTCCACTCCATCCCGCAGAGTATGCAGTGAAGTCTTGTCAGGACGCGCTGCAGATTCATCACACGTCCCGCTAGCATATAGCAATGGCCATTTGATAGCACTGGAATCTTAGAGGTAGGGGTCAATACCTGTTTCCGGTCCATTTGGGGTTCTTTCTTGCCTCAAAAAGCACCTCGGGGGTTTCCTCTGAGTTGCCTTCTACGGACCTGCCCCCCTTGTATCCATTTTGTACTCTGCTTCTTCCTGCACGTGAAATCTTGGTTCCCGGGGAGTCGAGTTCACGGACGTGTGGACACAAACGTGACTATGAATGTGCACCAGGGCACGTGTTGGACACGTGTGAGCGTGTCCTGCCCTTTCTCTGTAGATGGCACTTTCTGAGGCCGGAGACTGTTCTAGGATCCGCCTGACTTCTGTGATCATGTAACACAATACAGGTCTACGAGCTGGGACATGTTTAGAAGCCATTCTCGAGGAGAGCGCTCAGAAAAGCTGGGGAGCCCAGCGAATGTGGCATCTGGGGAGGGGGCTGTGTCCTGCACACCCTGAATCAGCTTGAGGGCCAAGGGGAGAGGCTCGCAGGAGACTCGGGAACATGGGGATGGGGGGCCCTTGTTTAGGCTTCTGGCCTGGGGAGCTCCGCAGCCTTATCTCGTTCCTTTCTCAGTTTGTGGTCAATTGCAACTATGTACCGAGTTTGCCCACCATCACCTTCGTCATCAGCGGGTCCCAGTTCCCTCTGCCTCCTTCTGCCTACGTCTTTCACGTGAGTGTTCACTCCCAGACTTTCTGGACCTTGGGATGAGTTGGGCCCAAACT